GGTGGTTGCATTTTATTATGTGGATGTTGGCCCGGACATTGGCAAATGACATGAACTGTCCTCCCAGAATACTCATGGAAATGAAATGTGTGTACCAAGAGGCGATCTGGGTGAGCAAAGTCTGGCACTTAATGAAATCAACAAAGAGCCTGTTTGTCAAGGGTAACTTTAAGTTTGTGTAAATGATCCTCACCTCCATAAGGATGATGAGGTGATTTTATCACCAGTGATTTTACACTTGGAAGAGGTGATTAAACACCAATGGTCTGCTGCTCCCATTAAGGGAGAATATTTTTACTTTCATCCTTGCAACAAAGCTAAGTTTTATGCTTCATTAGGGAGTCTATAGTGACCAGATGATGTTTCATTTGCAGTTCTACCATCCATCACTAGGTTTAGAATTTTCAGTTCAAATTGAGCACAACCTACTTTTTCAGATTACTTCTAGTTCACTATTTAGTGTGTGTTTGCTCTGCATTATTCTCAGTGGAGTTCATACTGTTCATGTTTCCAGAACTTTTTAAGGCTCATTCTTGAGTAAAGATTGGTAAAAAAGCCATTTGCATTTCCTCCAAAGAGTGGCTATTAAGAGGAATAATTGATCTGGAGCTCAGATTATTAAGTATTAAACCATCCTTCTAGATTATTAGGTTCATATCCCATTTTGACAGGGACAAAGTTAGCCTTTCAAAGGACCCAATTTCTCTGGTTAAGCCCTGTGAATCTAGTTTTATAGTGTAAGCAAGAATTATCAATGATTTTATTTTCATTTAATCATTTAATTTCATTTAATCAAATTATATTCAAGTCTCAGTCTCAAAGCCTGGTAGGCTGATGGAAATTTCCAATCTCTGTATTGGTGTATCACTTTCCAAGTTTTCCACATAATTTAGGACATTTATAGAGAAAGGGTATGGTTATATTGCAGTCTACTGTGAGCATAGCTGACATACTCATTTACAAGTCTGTAATCCAGCAGCTATTTATGTCATGTGGGCACCTCGGAAGGTATGCTGAGACCTCTAGAAGTCCACTTCCAAACTCCCCATTCCCTCCAAAATCCATTATTTCCTCATGTGCACCCTCCAAAACCCCAGTTCTCAAAACAGACACTTAGGATGCTCAGCCTTTAGAAACCAAAATTCAGAGGGGAAAATATCTTACAGGAAAATTCTGCAGTTAGTCCCAAAATACAAACCTTCCCTGAGACAGAAGAGCATAAAAGATGCCTAGATACTTTTGTGAAATGTGGCAGTGGAGGATTTAAAGGAGAAGGGGGGAGGAAAGAAAAAAAGAAATGTATCCCTAAGTTAATCTTCAAACACGTTTGCATGGGCTACAAATATTGTGTTTCTAAGGTCATCACTAACTTTGATGCCAATTTCTTATAAATTTAATGGAAAGGTTTTCTTTAGGTAGACAAAAGTACAAGAAGAGGCACTGCATGCATTAAAAAATAACAGAATTAGTTCCTTTTTCTTAGGGGTGGCACAGCTCCACCCAAGGGCTATGGTTTGATGAGCAAAAGTGGGTTGGGTTCCACTTCTGAGTCATGCTTACTTGTCCAAACATTCAATACTGCCTTTCTAAATTTAGTAGTAATCATCACCATCACATAATCATCACCACCATCTCTATAATACCTGAATACTTACTGAGTGCCAGGCACTGTATTTAAATTTCACTAAATTCTCAAGATGAGTCCCCAGTGAGGATTAAATCAAATAACACTAATATGTGTGAAGCACTATTCTAAGCTCGTTTTAAATATCATTATCTCATATAATCCTGCAAAAATTTTATCAGGTAGGAAATACTATTATGACCTAATGAAGAACTGAGGCATAACAAAGATTAAGTAAGGTGTTGAAAAGTTGTCTGTAGACCTATATGAAGTTTTGTTGTTGTTGTTGTTGTTTTTTTTAATGTGCCATTGGCCTTTAGCTCTTAGGAACTAACATAGGATAAAGGAGATTTTTTAAAAAAGATGGTTAAAGTTATTTTATACATGGCTATATGAGTGTCCAGAGTGGACAATCATCTGTGCAAAAGGATATGTGTGATACTGTAATTTATAATAAGAAATATATATTTGGTCTTTGTCCCAGTTTCTGACATAGAGCTCCTAAAACCCTTGGTATTTTCTAAGTGATAAGAGTAACAAGGCTACAAGAGTAGCCATAACAAGCGTCTTGTTCAACCTCACCTGAGTTTATGGTAACAAGATGACTTTTAGAAAGTACCTAAGGATGGGAGCCTGTTGCCAGGAGAACCAATTGGGTTTCATTCCCACCTACCTTGACCTCCAGGAAGTACAAGAGGGGCTGAAGGTTGAAATAATCCTCAGTGAGTAATGATTTAATCAATAATGTCTATGCAATGAAGCTTCCATAAAAACTCCAAATAATAGGGTTCAGGGAGCTTCCTGATTAGTAAACACATGGAAATTCAGAGAGAACTGTGTGCCCAGAGAGCATGGAAACTCCTTGCCCCTTCCCATTCCTTACACAGTGTATACCTTCTGGTTATTCCTCAGTTGTCCCTTTATAATAAAATGGTGATCCAGTAAGGAAATGTTTTCTTGAGTTCTGTGAGCCTCTCTAGCAAACTGAATACAAGGAGGTATCATCGTAACCTCTGATCCATATAGCCAGTTAGTCAGAAGCATAGGTGATAACCTGGACGTGGGTTTGGCATCTGAATGGGGGGAGGGAGGTCTTGTAGAACTGAGTCCTTAACCTATGGGATACCTTGCTATTTCCAAGTACAAAATGTCAGAACTGAGGTGAATTACAGGACTCCTAGCTGGTGTCAGAGAATTTCCTGATGTTAGGAAAAAATCCACACATTTGAACTGTTATCAGAATCATTAATACGTTATCAGATCAGAAAACAATTACTACTCTTCGTATGTGAAATACTTAAAGTTATTTTTTTCTAATACCCATTAAAGTAAATACAAAATTGATTCATCCTATCAGTGACTTCACTGCTCTTACTTAATTATACAACGTTATCCTCATTAAGACACTAATGAAGCAAGGGCAAAAATGAACTACTGGGACTTTATCAAGATAAAAAGCTTTGGCACAGCAAAGGAAACAGTGAGCAAAACCAAAAGACAACTGAAAGAATGGGAGAAAATATTTGCAAATGACATATCAGATAAAGGGCTGGTATCCAAAATCTATAAAGAACTTATCAAACTCAACACCCAAAGAACAAATGATCCAATCAAGAAATGAGCAGAAGACATGAACAGACATTTCTGCAAAGATGTCCAAACGGCCAAAAGACACATGAAAAAGTACTCAACATCAGTCGGCATCAGGGAAATACAAATCAAAACCTCAATGAGATACCACCTCATGCCAGTTAGAATGGCTAAAATTAACGAGTCAGGAAATAACAGATACTGGCGAGGATGCGGAGAAAGGGGAACCCTCCTACACTGTTGGTGGGAATGCAAGCTTGTGCAGCCACTCTGGAAACAGTATGGGGGTTCCTCAGAAAGTTGAAAATAGAGCTGCCCTATGACCCAGCAATTGCATTACTGGGTGTTTACCCCAAAGATCCAAATGTAGTGATCCGAAGGGGCACATACACCCCAATGTGTATAGCAGCAATGTCCACAATAGCCAAACTGTGGAAAGAGCCTAGATGTTCATCAACAGACGAATGGATAAAGAAGATGTGGTATATGTGTACAACGGAATTTTATGCAGCCGTCAAAAAATGAAATCTTGCCATTTGTAACGACATGGATGGAACTAGAGGGTATTATGCTAAGCGAAATAAGTCAATCAGAGAAAGACAAGTATCATATGATCTCACTGATATGAGGAATTTGAGAAACAAGACAAAGGATCATAGGAGAAGGGAGGGAAAAAATGAAATAAGACAAAACCAGAGAGGGAGAAAAACCATAAGAGACTCTTAATCTCAGGAAACAAACTGACGGTTGCTGGAGTGGAGGGGGGGTGGGAGGGATGGGGTGGCTGGGTGATGGTCATCAGGGAGGGTATGTACTATGGTGAGCTCTGTGAATTGTGTAAGACTGATGAATCACAGACCTGTACCCCTGAAACAAACATTTTATGTTAATAAAAAAATAATAAAACACTAATGAAAATATTGGGCTATCTAAATAAATTATGTAATAATTAGAGGTTGCAAAAACTGTGACTATATGACACTCCATCCCTGAAGGTCAGAAAACACCACTGTCAGTATTGATAGGTAGGAATATTGGACATGTAAAACATGATGGAAGATAGAGGACATAGTCTGGTGTTTAAAGGAAGCCAGGACTAATCCCTGTAAATGGAGGTATTCAGAGACATCACCACACATTTACATGAGGCACATTCAGGAAAGGGGAGAGCAAACATTGGTCAAAACAGAGTTAGTAAACCATAAAAGCAAGTTGCAAATAAGCTTGAAGGTCAGTTTATCTCATGCTCACCCTAACAAACTGAGCAATAATGGTAGAAATATTGGCAGGGTTCAATTGTGAGGAACAGCCTTGAATATTAATTTTAGACTTGTTTGTATAGTTTACTTGTAGATACCATTTTTTTTTTTATGCTTATACACACAAACAAGATTTTCATTGTTAACATCGACGAACACAGATGGAAGAATATTCATGTGCCAAGGACATATTGCTCACAAGATCACAAAATGGCTGTTGATTTGTATTCGTAAATGATTTGGTGAATCACTACATGTTTTTGAGTGAAATAGATATATATAAAGAAGAGATTTCTGAAGCTTCATTTCCATTTGGACTCTCCTGATACCGTCCCGAGAAGGAGAAAACAGAAGCTTTGAAGTTAATGCTTACATACTTTTATGGATAGCCTGATTCCACCCAAATGAACACCTACTTCCCATCGCCCACATTTTAAGTAGCACACAAAGAAAGCATGAGAAACACTGATTTGGCTCCACGATTTGCCTCATGAAAGGCTTTTTTTTTTTTTTAATTTTTTTGAGTTTTAAAAAAAATTCTCCGTCAAGCTGTCCAGGGTGCTTGATGACGTCACGGAAGCAAAGTGTTTCCTCAGCAACTCCAGGGCCCTGTTATTTCTTGCTTGCAGGGTCTTCTCGGCTCTCAGCTCGTTCTTGATGGCGTTCAGCTCCCCGCGGATCTTTTCCATCTCTAGCTCATAATACAGTTTCATCTCTTCCTTCAGGAGTGCGTTTCTAATCTCTGTCTGACGCTTGAGTTTCCTAACGGCCTCTTTTAAATCTCGGTTCTCTAGGCTCAGCCTGTGGATGAGTTCTTTGGCTTGCTGGAGCTCTTCGGTCAGGTTCTGGACGTTTGTCGCTTTCTCGGATAGGTCATTTCTTAAAGCTTGAAGCTCCCAGTCTTTCTTCGAAATTTCTCCCCCTGTTTCCTGAAATTTGAGGGGTTTTGCGGAGACTTCTTTTTTGGAGTTCAAAAGTTCTTTTTCAGCATTTTCAAATTCCTCTTCTATTTTCCTGCATTTCATGTTAAGTTCTTCCAGTTCTTCATTCAAAAGATTCAGGTGAAGTTTTGGAGACATTCCACCGGTAAATTTCTTCTTTATGTCTGGTCGTGGTAGGATTGGTAATTCCTTTGTACTCCAGGTAGAATGGTCTTCTGTGCTGTTAAAGCTTTCTTCGGTCACCACATCCAAATTAGATGAGTCACAGGAGACAGAATTTGTGTCTGCTTCGTTTTTTGAAATGTTTATCTTTCTCTCTCTTAAATTTGGTTCTTGTTCTTTTTCATTTAGTTGAGAAACAAATTCTTTCCTCTTAAATTTATTTTCTTCTTGAAACTTTCTACTAGACAAATTATAAATTCCTTCTATTCTACTGGCCTTATCTAAAGTCATTTGTTCAAAAGAAGATTCAGGTTGAGAAGCCTCATCTAGAACATCCTGTGCACTAAAGAAAGGAGCAAACATATTCTCCTTCCAGTGTTTTCTTCTAGCGTCCATTTCCCCAGGTACGTCCTCCAATTCACTCTCCAACGTCCAAGGTCTTCTATTGGATGCCGTTGTTCTCCTCCAGTTTGAACTGGAGACGTGGGTGGGGTCCAGCGGGCCCTGGCCCCTCTTCCCCGAAGCCTGCCACCACCGGCGGGCGGCAGCCCTGGGCTCGGCGCTGGCCACGGCGACCCGGTCTGGCCGGCGCGGGGCAGAGCCTCTGCAGTGCAGCGCCAGCGCGGGCCGCGCCGTTGCCTAGCAACCGGCCGGCCGGATTTAAAGGGACGGGGGTTCCCGGGCCCCGCGCCGCGCGCCGGCCTCTGCCTGCCGCCAGTCGGAGCCCGCCCGGGCTCTGAGCATGCCCGGTGGGGCGGGCACAGCGGCGGCGGCGGCCCGCCGGCGATGGGATCTTGTAGATACCATTTTTAAAATTTCAATTTTGCATGTAAAAGTGATTTATACTCCTAATGAAAATTTCAATCTGTAATTAAACGCCTATTTTTTTAAGATTTGCTTTTTACATTTATTATTTTTTAAGATTTTATTTATTTGAGAGAAAGAGAGAGTGTACATGAGGAGGAAGGAGGGGCAGAGGGAGAGGGAGAAGCAGACACTCCGCTGAGCAGGGAGCCTGACACCCAGGACCCTGAGATCACGACCAGAGCCAAAGGCATATGTTTAACTGATTGAACAACCCAAGAGCCCCTGTTTTTTTTACATTTATTTCTAAGGAGAAACTAAAAATTCGAGACACAGCCTTCCAGACATTTGCTATACAAAGACATGTATGTATGTATTGTTAAAAACAAGACAAAAGCCCCAAAATGGAGCTGCTTATGCTAAGCCCAAGTCACCAAACTGAGACTTAATTACAGTTTTGTCTCCTCCTAGAAATAAATACTTAAACCAGCCAATCAGTAACTATCTGGTCAGCACTAGTGAGATAATCTGCCTGATAGACCCCTGCTGTTTCCTAAAGGAAAGTTACCTTGCTACAACCAATCCATTTTTTGCTGGCGTAACTCCACTGTCCCTGTTCGCATTGCCCATGGAAGTATTTCATTTTATACAGCTCCTCAGAACTCTGTTGTATTAGATGGGATCCTGCCAATTCTTGAATCATTGAATAACGCCAATAAGATCTTTAAAATTACGGCGCCTAGATGGCTCAGTCCTTAAGCGTCTGCCTTCGGCTCAGGTCATGATCCCAGGGTCCTGGGACTGAGCCCCACCCACATCAGGCTCCCTGCTCAGCGGGAAGCCTGCTTCTCCCTCTCCCACTCCCCCTGCTTGTGTTCCCTCTCTCGTTGTGTCTCCCTCTGTCAAATAAATAAAAATAAAATCTTTTTTTTAAAAAAGACCTTTAAAATTTACTCAGTTGAATTAACATTATACATATACTTATTTCCTCAACAAAATTGTGTATTTACTCTAAATCCTTTCTACAGTTTGCTTTTTTATTTAACAACCCATCTTGGCCATTTTTCTATGTTAAGCCAGGTAGATTTGCTTTATATGGTTACATAGTCTTCCATTGTGTAGATATAGCATTATTGATTTAACCAGTGCCCTACTGATTGGCATTTGGTTTCACTGAAGATTTTGGATAGACAAACAAAAATTTTAAAGAAAATAACTGTTAAAATATAAATGTTAAAATATCTCTAAGAGTGGTAATTGTAGTATGTAATTGATCTAGGATAAAAATATCCTTTTGCACAAATGAACTGTCCTCCACTCTAGACATTCATACAGACTTGTATAGAATAACATTAAAAATTATGAAGTTATATGCCAGAAGACAGTTTATAAGAGGAATATTTAACTTTTCTTAATTTTTTAAATCATAGATTCCCTCTGAAAATCAGATCAAAATATGTGTATTTTCTTCCCAGAAAATTGTACCATTTTACATTCAACTTCTGCAGCTGAACCCTTGAAGCTTATAAGTAAAGAATGCTTTGGATTATAGAGAGCCAAGATTGGAGGCAGTGAAAACCAGTGATTATTACAAGTGTTTAATTATGGTAGCAACAATTGGAATAGGAGAAACAGACTGATGAGATATTATAGGAAAACACAACACACATCCACACACTGATAATTGGTTGCGCATGAAAAGTATGGGGGAGGGTATACTCAAAAGTGACATCAAGTGTTTGATCTTAGGTGAAATAATGTTGGTTTTAATTGTCACTTGACATCAACACAATGATAATTGATCGCACATGAAGAGTAAGGGGGAGGGTATAC